TGAATATTATTAGTACAATGGGCAGAGAACCACCTAGTTATATTATAGACACATACACATATATATATATATATTATAATATCTTTATGGTTACTTGTTCAAAATTTTGAAATATTTTAATTTTATGCTTTGTTAATATTTTACAAGTTTTTAACAAAAAAATATTTTTAAATTTTCTTTAATGTTTTTTTAAAAATGGATCCAGATTAGAATATATGTGTATATATTATAGCTGGTTAGCTTCCAATATTTTGATAGCTTAGGATATCTAAGACTCGGGGATTAAGATCCAGATCCCGATAGTTTATGACTTGACCCCATCAATTTATATCTCATGTATGTCTAATTCTAGGAGAAGGGGCAAACCGAGATCAGCAGCAGCCATTCTGACGAAAAGATCTTGACCGCCAGCAACGTAGTTCCGGATATCCACGAGCTGTTGAGTCCAAATTACACAGCCTAACCCGCCATTTCGGACATCCGCATTCGCATATGCTGTACAATTGCAATCTCTAAGGCACTTCTTTTTACATTCTTTCGTACCAATTGTCCGGTCCACAATCGCCATCGTAGTATCCGGCAACTTCATATTCTTCAGCGGCAAAAATCCATCTCCGCTGCAGCTTAGTGGCGTTCTCCTCACACACCCACTCGACCCGTCTCTCAAATCCCATTGCTGCTTGTTCCAAGGATTGAACCCTGGAATACAGTTACACTCGGGTGACGTGTTCTTGTCACAGTAAGAATAAGGCCCACACATCTGGTATATATCGCACGGGGACTCCTCTGGTGAAGACCAGAATAGTACCCACCCCCATGCTGGTGGAATCCATGTGAATCGCTGAAGAGACCCTTCGTTACTCAGTGTCAATCTCGAGTAGATGCTCTTGTTGGTCATTATGAACGCGTAAGCAACCTCCTCTATGTTCTCCGTAAAATTATAAACCATGTAATCCAACTTTCGGTCCTCTGGTATGCCACTAATCTGAAGTCCATCCCATGGACCGCTTCGGTGAACTTTATAGTCTTTGTTCATCAATAGGAAAAACTCGGGGAATCCTCGAGTTTCAAGTTTGTATGAGAAATTCCCGCTTGATGGATCCTCTAAGCTTTTCCAAGATCTAAGGAATTTATTGAGCCCTGTTTTGCGATCCCAGCCAAGTTTCATCTCCGGAAGTAAAGTATCCGTCGGGAAATTGAAACTCTGCCACAAATATTCACTTGGGTCGTTGTTGTTGGAGTATCTCATCGCGAAATTTCCGTTATCGAGAAGCTCCGCCACCACCGGAGATCTCACATTTTCTCTTGTAAGATTCGTCGACCAGACAAGGTTACCGGACTGGTCGAGGAGGACAAGGTTCGTTTCGGAAAATTTGAGGGTTCCCATGGAATTTGAGAGAGGCTTGTCTCTGTTGGCAACCCATGCGTAGGTTCTGTCGGGGACTTTCTTGTACCATATCCCAAGATACCAACGAGGACTTGAGGCAGTTTTGAAGAAACCAAGTTCGAACACATCACTGGGAGATACAAGTGTTCTGTTGCTTGAGATTGTAAGAGATTCTGTAGACGACAAAGTGTTGACATAGATAGAATGGGCAGGATGAAATAGAATCACGACAAGGAGGACGAGCAAGAACAAGACGGTGTAAGAGTGGTGGTAGATGTTTCGTACACTTTTCATCATCTAGCTCTCCGCCACTTTCTTTCTTTCTTTCTTCTTTTATAATCCTTTTTATATTTATAAACTTTTTCACGTACGAAATGACCTAAGCCAATGAAAGTAGTTTTGGTTCTAAATTGCATATATTATTATATCTAAACCCTGAGTTGCGTTCGCAAGAAGATTCGAATTTTCATTATTACCACGAACCTAGCAGACAAGCAATATGTTGTGTTCCATATTCCATGACTTTTTCATCGCTTCAGTTCATTCATTCCACAAACTTTTATCATTTGTCAACAAAAATTAAATCTACACGTGATTAATTTCTCACGCTACCAACATAACATATGGTGTTCAGCAACCTTCGATACATTCAAAGTATGCTACAAAATTGTCGTACCTTTAGTTCAACGATTTTATAAGTTTGAAGAATCATTGGACTAGAGGAAAAAAACCTACTAGATAGTTTAACTTAAGTTACTTAACAATTAGCTAGTCGTCGAATCAAACAGAAAACATTTAAAGAAAATAATAAAATTGTAAACCAAATATATGATTTTAATTTTTGCTATATTTAATCAACCCGAAAACAAATCAAACCAATCATATAAAATACTTGGAATTAGATTTAAGGTTACACTTCCTCTGTTCGTAAAAGAAGAATTTTTTGGATTTTATTTTTGTTTCACAAAATAGAGATGTTTTAAGTTTTTATGCACTTTTTTTTAGTTAATAATGAAATTTTCTCAAAAGATGTTCAGATTCAAGCACCAAAACCAAAAGAAAGAATAAAAAATATTGTGTTCACCTAAAAAATGACTAAAGTAATGTATATATAGATCTAAGATCGAAATAGGCTAAGCTAGTATGATTCTGGAAAGAAATAGAAAGTTGCAGATTGTTTTTTTCCGTCTGGGGGTGGGAATGATCATTCTGAAAGTTTCTGGTCATTCTTAAAAGTTCACGGAAAATTTGTTTGATGTCAGATTGATCATTCTGGAAGTGGATCGATCGTTCCAATAACTTCTTCTGTGCATACTTCATATGGACACCAGACTACATTGTTTTCACAAAAACCTGCATAATGTTCGATCGCATCGTTGAATTTACTTCAAACCACTTCTAAATGAAAAGCAACTCAAAAATCTATCTTGTCACCAATATCCAGCCCGATCCATGGGTAGGAAGTGCTTTAAAGAGTGTCAAACTTTAGACATTCTTGCATAGTTCTCTATCAACATATCTTCGTTTGTATTCAAAATGATTCTTTTTCCCTCAAAATGACGAAAAACCTGAAATACCGTAGAAAAGACTAAAAAAATTCTAAAATAAATATTTTAACTTAAATAATCAATTAAAACTTTAGGTTAAAATACCTCAAAAATCCAATATATCAATTACTTTTATTTTAATATCAATGTTTATTTATATAAAATCTAAGATTACATAAAAAGTAAAGAAAATAATAGAAAATTGTATTTTTATAACAACTTTGTTATTTATTTCGATATTTGAATAACAAAGTTGTTAAAATGTTTGGTTGACTTTGGTTCGAACCTAGGTGTCTCACTAATTCGTCTCGATTTCTAAAATGTTCACAACTACCCAATTCAACGCTCCGGAAATGTCTCGATTTATTTACTCATCTCGTAATCACAAGAATTTTTCTATTGATAATACCATGTAACTATGCATATTGGAATTTGTTTCCAATACATAAACTTACTACGTTAGGAAAGTTTTCTATTTCAAATTGTACGACCCAAATCCTACTAAGACCAATCCAATCTAAACAAATATTTTTAATAATAAAACTGATAAAAAATGGTTCATAGTATCTTATATTTTAGACCAGTGTCTAAATTAAGACACTAGTATCTAAATTAAAAATGCACACATAGTGAATTGGGAGTGGACGATGGAAAATTTCAGTTTCTGAATTGCATTTCTATAATTTATATGTTTTCATGTGTTACATTTTTGAAAATATATTATGGTTTAAAAGTTGTTAACAAAACTTTTTACTTAAATTTATTAATATATATATATATATTATTTGTTTTTAAGACTCTCATTAAAAGTGTCTCTATTGTATGCTCTAAAAACAATAAAATACTACAAAATATATTATCGTATTATTAATTGGCAAGTAAGTTGAGCTGTAGTTGAGAGTTATAATGGTTGATTACCTTTTGCCCATTATATGAATTTACTTAATTACCCTTAATAAAATTAATAAATTAATATAATTTAATTTTTACTAAAATATTCAGTTTACTAAAAAAAGGTAACTACTATAAATAAATAAAAAATCTTAATTATTTTATTGAAATAATTTTAATTTGATTGTTTAATCTACTAACATTTTGACTAACCTAATTGATTTATACGACCACAAGTAAAACCTTAAATCATTTAAACCTTTTTAAAACTCCATTTTGGATTGCTATTTTTTTTCAATGTAAACTTTGAATTTCATTATTCTTAATCTACCAATTTACATCAAAAGAAGAAAATTATTTATCATGTTTGATAAATACAACAAAACAACAAAGCATACATATAAGTTTTTATCGGATAATATATGAGATATTAAAAATAAGATATAAATAATATATTTTGCTTTGTCATAAAAAAAACAATGGTTAACTGCCTATACCCCCTCTACAATACTGCTTCTACACCATTCCCCCCAAACTTGAAAACTCATCATATTCCCCCCCTCCCTCCCCGCCAAACTTATACATTTAAGTATATTCCCCCCCCCCCCCCCATAATTTTCCTCTGCCTAAGTCCACCTCCAACGTTAATTTCTCTAAATCGCTATCAATTTTACAAAATCGCGTTATAAAATTGTGATTGACCAATTAACAGCAAAACCCGACCCAGATTAACAAAACCCGACCCAACCTATATATTGACTTAAGTAAAAATTGAAACTACAGTGTTGTCTTCTTCATCTCGTGAAATATATCATCTCTCTCTTCTTCTCTGCTACTTGTAATGCAGCTATCACTAACATCTGAGCCACAGCCTGAAAACACCACAAACGCAACAACTATACTCAAACAGAGAAATTTTTTGAGAGCAGAAATAGATTCAAGAAGAGTGATGTGAAAATCTTACATTGTGTGGACAAGAATTGACGATATCAACTGCTTCTTGATTGCTTAGATGCTCCCATAAACCATCCGAGGCTCAGCTCTCATTATCGGCTTCTCAAAACGTTCTGCGACTCTAAACTTAGGCAACAACGGCGAGTGAAATCAATCTCACATGAATTTTCTGTCAAAAATCTGCAGGTCTTGGATTCTTGACATCAATCACATTCATCTTTATGGTTGGTGTATTCATGTCATCGTGGCTTGGAGCTTCAGTTCTCAGCATTGGTGAATGGTTTATCAAGAAAATGCCTCTCATCAATTACATCTACTCAGCATCTAAACAAATCAGTGGAGCAATCTCACTAGGTAAATTTCAAAAACAAAAGAACCAAAACAAATTCATATAGCTTAACCCTTTTCACAAATGTTTAATTAACCTCCTTTGATCAGATCAAAGCTCAGGTGCATTCAAGGAGGTAGCGATCATCAGACATCCACATATGGGAGAATACGCTTTCAGATTCATTACATCGATTGCGATTCTTCGAGGCCGTACTGGTGGAGAAGAGCTCTGTTGTGTCTATGTACCTACAACACGAGAGTCTCCTGCGTTACCAACCAAGCATCAAGCTCCCACAGAAGCAATATGTGGCTTGTTCTTCCATTGCTCCTGCACTAAATCGAGAAACTCCTCCTCCGTTGCTACAAACGCCCTTGTGATCACATCAGGTGAAATCCCTCGTTGCTCCGATGTGCACCTCCTCATATGATAAAAGAGCCTCTCGTTTATGAACTGAGCTGCCTCGGGACCTCCATGACCATTATAAACACCAACAAAAGTCATGCAAGCTAATACGACCAGATTCTAATTGGCTATGGTCTTCGAGATGGGTGTTTGCTTGAACAACTGCCATTGAAAACTCTCCGGTGATGTGGTTACTGGAATCTTTGTACCACAAAAGACCGTCGAGGCGGCCATTAGCATCATCAATACCTGAAATCGAACCTTCACCAATGCCAAAAGGTCTCCAATGGCAACAAGGGGATACAATTCTCCTAAATGTTGTAGATACCATAATTCACATGGTAAGCTTTATATATATATATCGCTCTCTCTAACCAAAAGAACCAGCTATCAAATCGTTCATCAAATCAGTGCTTATACCTATACTACGAGACCCAATTTTCTCGTCAATTCCAACTCCACAAACCCAGGATTCAGAATTCAAACTCGCATTCACGAATGTAAACATTAATCTGCATTGCAAACAAAAAAACATTAGTAACTAAGATTTTTCTCTGTGTATCGTCGTGTCTTTCACGAGATGAAGAAGACAACACTGTAGTTACAATTTTGACTTAAGTCAATATATAGGTTGGGTCGGGTTTTGCTGTTAATTGGGCAATCACAATTTTATAACGTGATTTTGTAAAATTGATAGCGATTTAGAGAAATTAACGTTGGAGGTCGACTTAGGCAGAGAAAAGTTATTGGTGGGGGGGGGGGGGGGGGAGGGGGGGGGGGGGGGGGGGGGGGGGGGGGGGGGGGGGGGGGGGGGGGGGGGGGGGGGGGGGGGGGGGGGGGGGGGGGGGGGGGGGGGGGGGGAGGAATAATTAAATGCATAAGTTTGGGGGAGAATATCATGAGTTTTCAAGTTTGAGGCGAATGGTGCAGAAGCAGTATTGTAGAGGGGTATAGGCAGTTAACCCAAAAAACAATATACTCATAGAAATTATATTTTTTAAAATATATTAAGTTTCGTTTTGAATCATAATTATCATATCCATCATATAATATATAAAAGTTAAAGGCATAATGCATTGAGGGTGTCCACATGAGATTAAAAAACTCGATCTGATTGGCCCACATCAGCATATTCATTAAATAAATTTATGTTAAGTATGATTAAGATAGAAAAACTTGATTTAATTGGCTCACATCAACTTTTTAATCAAACCAAAAATTAGTAAGTATAATTAAAATATTAAAAATTAATTTAACAAATTATGTTTAACAAAAAAAGTAAATTCATTATGATTGATTCAAATCAACATATTTATCAAATCAGAAAATGTAAATATGGTTTAAAATTTTAAAAAATAAATGAAAAAATTAACAATTAACAATACATGTTTTAAAAAAAGAAACCATTATCAATTTTTTTTAAAAAAATCTATAACAACTCGATTTAACAATTAAAATAATAAAAACTGAATAAAAATATAACATAAAACTCTTGGAAGACATGATGGAGAATGAAAAAATAGTTTTACATGATCATTACAGCTTCCTAACAAAATTAAATGCGAATCAACATGAATCATGGATTATATATGCAGTGGTACACAACATCAATAAGACTTACAATAAAAAAAAACTAAATATTTGAACACATAAACCTTCAAGAAAAAAAGAACTATAGAAATTCTATAAAAAAAAAGAAAATAATATTAATATCTTAGCAAGATTATATTTCTCTAAATCAAATGTATATGTACGTCAAAGTTGGATAATTCAATAGATGTCATTGTTATTATCTTACTTAATAGTTTTTTAAAAATTTATAAATAAAAATATGATAAATTACACATTATATATTAAATTTTCTTATATAAATGGAAATTTCTATAAATACATTATATTTTTAATAATTTTAAAGATAATAGCTAAAAAAAAAAAAAACCAAAATATTAATACAGACTCGCGCGTAGCGCTAGTTATATACCTAGTTACTAATAAAAGTTAATGCTAAATGCCTCTAAGAGTATCCATATAGGATTTAAAAATTCAATTCTATTGGTACACATCATTATTTTTAGTTAATTATATATTTTATATTAAAATTAATTAATTCCTTTTAATTGTTATTAAGAAAGTTTCTAAATTTTAAGTTAGTTATTAATAAAAAAGAGTTTTGAACATAGATCTTATTTTTCTATTAACAATAAAAAAGTAAATTAACATATAAGTAGATTATGAAAGAAAAATCGTATATATTGAATAAAATTATTAAAAACTGTATTTAAAACCATAATTAAATTATTTTAAAATTTTAATCACGATAAACAATTAAAATCTGCACTGCTAACTTAAAATATATTAGTTGTGGTCCGTGTTGATGTCTTAGGCCAATGAAAGCGTCCATATATGACATATATACTCAATCTTATTAGTCTATATCAGTATTTTTTTATTAAACATAAAAAATAAAAATAATATTAATAATTTAAATAAATTAATATATACAAACATATAAAATTATCACAATAGAATAGAAAATTAAGATAATTTTTTTAACTAAATAAAATAAATTTGAATCTAAATCTATTGTGAAAATAAAATGGAAACTCGTTGTCACAAAAACTAAACTAACAAAAACAAATATGTAAATCAATGACGAAAAAGTTAAATTAAAAAAAATTAGCATATATATTTTAAATGAGTAATTTATTTAGAAAAAATATTAAAATCAAATTTGCATATAAACAATATAAAATTATTATTTAAAAATATCAATACTACCAAAAAAACCTTCATCTTAAATTAACAATAAAGAAAGTCATCTAAAACTTATAATTACTGAAGAAAGCAATATATTAATTAAAAATAGAAAATGATGGTATAAGCTTTTGAGAGAAGATCACTTAAAATTTAGAATAATCAGTTATAGCATACTAAAATAGCATTTTAATTAATTTAAAAAATAAATTTAACAAAGAACAAGCATTTATGTAAAAGATATTAGATTAATATATATGCTACCTATTTGAAAAATCAATAACAAAAGAGATTAATTAAAAATATATATGTTTTAAGTATATCAAACCTACAGAAAATTAGATAATTAAAATAAAATATAAAATTATCACTGAAGATATTTAAAATAACAAAAAAACAAGATCTAAGAAGCAAATTAGTTTGAAATATAGTTCCAAAAACATTCATGATTTCTAAAATATTGGCGTTGACTATGAATAACCAAATAAAGTTTTAATAGGTTATACAAGTTTCAAAATCAAACATATTATTTAAATTTACAAAGATTAATATCTTGATTGCGTCTGGTTTGAAAATTAACAAAGTAAAATACTACATAAGTAATTTTATATTCAAAATATAATAAGTAATAAATTCAGACTTGTATACATATTTATTGCTTATAACTTAGTCAACATGAACAACACATGAGCAACATCCTCTAAAATTTTATTTAAATAATATAATATGACAAAGTTATGAATCAAATTCAAATGAGAATATATGAAGATAAAATATTCAAATCAAAACATGAATAAATACACAAAAGATAAAAAAAAAACAGTGATAATGTGAAGTCTCAACATAATCTTACATGTTTAAAAACAAATATTAGCAAATAGTTGACTGCAAATAAAACAGATCTCATAAACTGAATAGAGATATAACCAATTCGTAAAAGATCTGGTGGAGAAGCAAAAAGCAGCTTTACACGATTAGTATAGCTTACTAACAAAAGTAAATCTGAATCAACATATATCATATATTATATATGTATATGTACACAACATTAGTGAGGTATTTAGTAAAGAAACTAAATATTTAAACATATAAACCTTTAAAAAAAAGAACCATAAAAATCCTAAGGATACAAAACAAAACACCAACAATTTAGTAAGGAAATCATTTTCTAAATCAAACATATGCACATCAAAATTGGATAATTCGTTAGGTGTCATTACTATGATTTTACTTAATAAGATTTATAATATTATAAACAAAAATAGGAAATACTACATATTATGTTTTAATTTTTTTATATAAAAGAAAATATCTATAAATATATTATAGTTTTGATAATTTAAAAGATATTAGACAAAAAAATTAAACCAAATTATTAATACGGACTCGCGCGTAATGCGAGTTAAAAGTCTAGTAATATTTCAAAATTGATGGCATAATGCATTGAGGGCGTCCACATGAGATTACAAAACTCGATCTGATTGGTCCACATCAGCATATTCATTAAATAAAAGAATGTTAAGTATGATTAGGATGAAAAAACTTGATTTAATTGGTCCACATTAGCTTTTAAATTAAATCAAAAATTACTAAGTATAATTTAAACATTAAAAGTTAATTTAACAAATTATGTCCAACAAAAAAAAATAAATTCAATCTGATTGATCCAAATTAACATATTTATTAAATCAGAAAATGTTAAAATAGTTTAAAAATTTAAAAGTTAAATAAAAAAATTAACAATTAACAATACATGTATAAAAAAAGTAACAATTATCAATTATCAATTTAAAAAAATATACAACAACTCGATTTAACAATTAAAACAATGAAAACTGAATAAAAATATAACATAAAAATCTTGGAATACATGATGGAGAAGGAAAAAATAGTTTTGCATGATCATTACAGCTACCTTAAAAAATTAAATGCGAATCAACATGAATAATAAATTATATATATAGTGGTACACAAAATCAATAAGACTTTCAATAAAAAACTAAATATTTGAACACGTGAACCTTCAAGAAAAAAAAGAACTATAAAAATTCTAAGGATAAGATAAAGTAATATCAAAATCTTAGCAAGATTATATTTCTCTAAATCAAATGTATATGTACATCAAAGTTGGATAATTCGATAGGTGTCATTGTTATTATATTACCTAATAGTTTTTTAAAATTTATAAAATAAAATAGGATAAATTAAATATTATATATTAAATTCTCTTATATAAATGAAAATTTCTATATATATATATATATATAATTT